GCTTTGAACTTTTCACATTTCATTTTTATCATTTTTCCTTTTGTAAAATGTCCGATCAATATATTTGTTAATATTTATTGGTTTAAATTCTATATCTTATTTTTTTCTTGGACTCACACAAGTTTGCCAAAAATTGTTTGCAGGTCAAATGTTCCCCCCCCCCAAAAATAAATTCATCAATTAAAATAGAATGTAAACAGTGGAAATTGTTTGCAATATCAACCAAGCAGTTAACAAATGTATAACTTAATACTGAATCCAAACATTTCTTAACAGAGACAAAAGTCTTGAAAATTTGGGGAGTTATGGACATCCTACAATTGAACACAACCAATTGAGAGAGAGATGATAATCGCAGGTATCGAGATTTTGAATTACTGCCCCCTGACAATAATTACAAGTAGCGTGAGATTTGAAAGAATCTATCTCTTTCTCAGTGACTTTTCATAGTGAAAAGATGTATTTTTTTCACCCCCGCTGATATGTATGCACCTCAGCTACAGGCACTGAAGGTTGCTTTGAACTTTTCACATTTCATTTCATTTCTAATTTTTCCTTTTGTAAAATGTTCAATCAATATATTTGTTAATATTTCATTGTTCAAGTTCTATCACTTATTTTTCCTTTGGACTTACTAAATGTTTGCAGGTACCAGGAGCTTATAAAATCTCATCAAAAATGTTGAAGCCTGCAACAAGTGAAGTCGGCTACATTGCTACTAAATCTTGTATCACAATATCAAAAAGGCTGAGGCATTTATTCCATTCAGATGTTTCTTGTGTCATGATTAAAAAAAAAATGGCTAAAAAAAAGTTGGAAGATTGTAAACAAAGTTTTTATTTTCTAGAAAGAAAACATGCTAACAAAATGTTACATGTCTTCTCTCCAACCCTGAAAAGGAAATTTAATCACTATTATAAAAGTGGTCTTTACTCACAAGTCCAGTATGCCATATAGCAAGAAACTATGCTTACCCATGTGTCAGGAAAGCATCTTTTCTTTGTGACATCTATTCAAAAACTGTCCTCTCTGTTGAGAATGTGCTTAAGTGATTGGCTTGTGAAAGTCACATGACTGGCCAAGTATGGGAAAGAGGAAGAAAAATTAAACCAAAAATTTCATAAATCTTATTCTCACCTAACTGCAGTTATTTTGATGTTTTTTTTTCTACTAAACTCATTTTTATTATTTTTAATTTATTTTTGCTTTATTACACCTTTTTGATTGATCCATCCTACAACCAGATGCTGGGGGAGGCGGGGTCTATTTTCTTTTTTGGTAGTGAAAACAAAAAAATGGTAGCAAAAAAAGAAATGACAACTATACTGACTTAAGTCAAACCTATCAGTTTGAGCTACCAAGTAGTGTATTGGGGGTGGGGTACGTTTGAAAGCCTAGTTCTACTAAATTTTGAATTAAACTTCCTTTTTATTAGTAGTCCAAACTTATTTTGTTGCTTCTGAAACCAGTGAAATCTTATGTATTTCAGAATTAAGAATTGGTTTGTAGTGAAATTACCGACAATACATTTTATAATAAAATGACCAACAAGAGCAAAATTTTATAGCTAAATGACAATCAATTTTTGTAGTGAAATTGCCAACAATACATTTTATTATCTACAAACTATATATCTAAAAAACATACATTTACTCTAAAGGTATAAAATTATTTACAAAATATTTAGATTTCAGCATTAAATAATCCACAGAGGTGTTGATATGCTACTAAATAAAATCAACCACAACATATAGTAAGATGGACTAATGCATGTAGTAGTAATAATAGTAGGCATCCTACAGTTACAGGAGACTGATGGAATCTACTAGTGTGGCTAGGGTGTCATTTTCTGCTTCTTCATGACCCTTTGAGACAACCTGCGGTTTATATTGCAACAATGTTGAGTGAACCTTAGTTATAGTCCCTGCAAGAGAGTGCATCTGATGTGATTAATACTTGAACAAAGCCAGTACACTCAAGCCCTCAGTCATGATGACTTGTGACTTTAAGCTTCCTCTGTTCCAGTTTCACCGATTAGACTAGTGGTTAGGGTTTTAGGTACTTCTCAATGCAAGGAATATCACTCTAGGCTGATATATTATCAAGAAATCACCTCCATGAAATATTAGTCATCAGGAGATTTGAACCCTGATACCATGATCAGAATGCTGACATTCTAGACACTGAGCTATGCATCCACATAGTAGTAGTAATAGTAGTAATGGAAATCCTTCTAAAATATTTCTGAAAATAGCAACTTTTTTATCCTTTATTATTTTAAATTTGTCAAAGATTAATATCTAAAATAGATACCTTTACTCTGAAGGTATAAAATTAGGTACAAAATATATGTAGCTGAACCCATAAAATTGCATAAAAGATATTTAGATTTCAGCATTAAATAACCCACAGAGGTTGATATATCACTAAATAAAATGAAGCATAACAAATTCTAAGATGAACTAATACATGTAGTAGTATTAGTATTAATAATAGTAGGCATCTTACAGTTACAGGAGACTGATGGAATCTACTAGTGTGGCTAGTTCATTCCTGTTGCAGATGCCATCTCAGGTGTCATTTTCTGCTTCTTCAAGACCCTTTGAGACAACCTATGGTTCATATTGCAACAATGTTGAATGAACCTTAGTTATTGTCCTCTGGGAGAGAGTGCATCTGATGTGATTAATACTTGAACAAAGCCAGTACACTCAAACCCTCAGTCACAATGACTTGTGACTTTGAGCTTCCTCTGATCCTGTTTCACTCATTAGATTAGTGGTTAGGGGTTTTATGCACTTCTCAATACTAGGAATGTCTTCCCAGGCTGATATAAGTCACCTCCATGAAATATTAGTCATCAGGAGATTTGAACCCTGATACCATGATCAGAATGCTGACATTCTAGACACTGAGCTATGCACCCACATAGTAGTAGTAATAGTAGTAATGGAAATCCTTCTAAAATATTTCTGAAAATAGCAACTTTTGTATCATTTATTGTGTTTTATTGTCGAGAATATTAATTTTGGATGTGTGTGTGTGTGTGTGTGTTTGGTGGGAGGACTGTTCTCTTCATTTCAAAGTGTTGCATATAAAAGTCTTCTTCACTTTCATTAAGTGTTGAGGATCTGATGCATCGTTATTATTGTCTGGTCACATGATCACCTATTTTCTAACCAATCAGAAATCAGCTGCAAGGTCAGCAGATTAAAGCGGTCAGGTGTGCTTTTTGTGCATAAACCTAATGAGAAAAACTGATCAGCTTCCAATTTTCTCTCCATCATCCTCCCCACCAAATAAACCAATAAACACACCCAACAGTGGACACATTTCCAGAACCATTCTAAAATATTTCTTTTCTTCTTTCATCCTTATCAAAACTTGTGAAATATGTGCGTCTTTCTTTCTCATCCAGCAAATACAAAATGTTTATTTTCTTGTTAGCAAATGACGGAAAAATGGATGACAATCTTATTGTGTTTGTTGTTCAACTATCAATGTAGGTAGACATCACAAAGTTTACAGCATTGAAAAAAAAGCCATGGGTATAGTATAGCTATATAGTATACTTGTATAGTATAGCTGTATAGGATAGTTGTATAGTATACTTGTATAGTATAGCTATATAGTATAGTTATATAGTATAACTATATAGTATACTTGTATAGTATAGTTATATAGACTACAATGTCTGTTGGGAATGTATCCATCCATTTTGAATCTCTCAACAATCAATTTTACGGCTTTGATTTAACTTGACAACCAATTAGATACAACTTTACTCAGCTGACTGTGAGACAACATTGAAAGAGCTTGTGTACTGTGTGGCTGTCACATTCTCAGTAACTGAGTGAATAGATTCATCGCATCCCATGCAGGATTGTTTAACACAATCTCACATCACCCAGGTCTTTTCAGTCCTCTCAGATTTGGTTCTCTTTGCGATTTTGGTGTTTCCTTATCAGCATCCTTCAGTCTTTGGAGATGATGGACTTGTGCTCTGGATAATGTCTCAAGTGCACTGTCTGTTGTCATTTCTGCTGCTTCCTGTCCCTACAGCACACAAGACCAGAGTGTTGCCTCTACAGTAGCCTCACCCCCACCTCAATGTCACTGAAATGACCCAATGAAAACATAAGTAATCAATATATATTTCTAGTGTTGTCACATGAAATAGCAGGAGTTTGCTGATAAAAAATTGTCAAAAATTCCTTTAGATACTTGGACTTTGGATTTTTTTTCTCAGGGTTGATGCCCAAAATCTTCCCCGTGAGTGGGTATAACTGTAAGGCAACAGAAGTTTTTAAATTCAGAGTTGTTCTTTGCCAACCAAAGTTAGAGAACACAGTCTGTCCTACTATTTAACCCATAGCTGGGGGGTAGAATATATGGATTCATGCATTTGTGAAGTGAATTGAATGCAATAGTTTGAATGTGGTTTGCCAATATCACTTTCTGTGCCATTAACCATAACTGAAATGAGAGAACAAAACAAATCAGCTGATGGTAGTCCCAAAGTAAAGACTTTACAGATTAAGAAATGGAAGAGAGGCTGTGATAAGCATATTGAGGTCCTGAGGACAATACTTTTAAAAGGACTAAGATGCCATTTCCCTAGTTAGGCTAATTTTTTTTGTTAATATCAAGTGACAAGATACTTTCCATTCAGGCCTGGTATTACCAGCTTTTGGCTTTGACACACCTGGCTAAATTTAGAATGTCTAAATCAAAAAAAAAAGATTTTAATACACTACCTGGCTTTTAAGTACCATGACTCTCAAATGACAAAAAAAGAAGTTAAATCCTATTCATATAGTATATCTACCACAGCTACACTACCTCCTTACCTATTATGTGATTCATATAACAGAGTTTATTTCTGGAAGTGGAGGAGAGAGAGCAAGATTATGGTACTTCAGTTTTTGTAAATACAATGAAAAATATGGAATTATTTTACAAAATGGTACATCTTCATTTTTTCCTTTTATAATTTTCAGGTAAATGGTATTTTAGTTCTTGACCAGAACACACAGGCCATTAAAAAATTGTTCTATTCAACTCTTGACTCAGGTTCCCTTCAACTGACATTGGCACATCCCAAACGGGTAAGACTATTTTTATATTTTTACTAGAATTTTTTTTTTTTTTTTATTCCTGATGACTCTTTGTGGAGCATGACAAAGGTTACAACATGATACATCTTACTCATAAAAAAAGATGCCTTTGATCAGTGTAGCATCTGTACTCTCTGATCAGATTATCAATCCTTGGACTTCTGCCCTGGATCAAATTTCTTTTATCAGGCCTATGGGCCAGGATCAAAGTGTAGTATCTGTCCTCTCTTCCTCTTAAAATTCTAAGGAATATTTTTACTGCTGTTTTAATTTTGTTAATTTTGTTGTACAAATTTCACATTTTTATTTTGCAGTTTTCTTGCTTTATATATATATATATATATATATATATATATATTCAGTAATGTTGAATATCATTATTAAATATGTCTAATATTCAATAAACTATAAATACAAATATTTACTATATTTACTTGAGATTTTAAACAAATTCCTTTCTTTATTGGTAAAAATGAAAAATACATAATCAATCAATTTCAGACTAGGTGATGTCATGTTATGTCTTTAAGAATTTTAAATATCATAATTTGAATGTGCCTAATATTTAATAAATTACAAATGATTAGAAGTATATACTATATTTTCTTAATATTTTAATACTGAATCCTTTATTGCTAAACTGATCAAATAATCAAATAATTTCAGATGTTTTAATGTCTTTAAGATAGAACAAATTTAAATTTAATGGATGTCAATAATTAGTGTTTTCTTTTTTTTATGTATTTAAAATAAATATGATATCAGTTAATAAATGCAATAGATTTCGCTCTATTTACATTATTCAGACTATTGTCCTCATCTTTGTTGCCATATTTATTACAACGTTTCGGCTGTTGTATGCTCCTGTCTTCTTCAGGTGGTTGGAATGTCAAACTGAACCCTTTATTTCGCTCACTGGGGTAGACTGTTCTAGTTCGACATGCCATGTTTAATGGATGTCAGTTACTGCACTGGTAAAAAATAGTTGCTGAAGACATTAGGTTTATAATACCCAGAAATTCATACACAAATGTCCTCAAGGACAGTGAATAAAGATGTTGGTTAGATCCAATGACATGACCCAAAGAGTGCGAGTTCAATACACGGTTAAAGCAGTGGAGAACTTGGAGATAACTGACATCCATTAAACATGGCACGTGGAACTATAATAATCTACCCCAGTGAGCAAAATAAAGGGTTCAGTTTGACATTCCAACTACCTGAAGAAGGCCAGAGTGTACAACGGCCAAAACGTTGTAATAAATATAGTGAGAAAGATGAAGACAATAGTCCGAATAATGTAAATAGTGTACATAATAGCTCATCTCAGAAATATAGATTCTCTCTCTCCTAAAAAGGGCACCTGTGTCTTCAAGACAAAAGTTGAAGAATAAGGTGTTGAACTTTTGATTCATCTATTCTCTGTTGTTGCTGGCTATTTATTTATTTTTTTTCTTACTACTGAACATTTTATTTGCATAAATCAGCTTGCCTTAGACATGAAAGAGAATGAAAGTGTAAGGATAATAAAAGAACAGGGTTCATGAAGATAGATGTCAATTGGCATTACATTTAAATTTTTGAAGATGGTAGGCAGCAGGGAAACAAGAAACTGGAAAGTTCCACAGGCAAGAGGTGTGAGACAAGAAACTATGAGAATAGAACATATGGTTGCAGCTAGTTAGTTCAACAGTAAAATGACGAAAGATAATTGCCAGTCTAGTAGCACACTTTGAGTTAAGACACCAAGAAGGAAAGCTCATCAGAACAATTGGCATGAAAATATTTCTAGAAAAGAAGCCACGTCACGTTGGTGAGAAAGTGACTGAAGTTGAGATGTCTGGTCAGGATTGATTGCATTGCAGATTCTTCTTTGAATTTTGTCAAAAATCTCATGATATAAAGTAGGAACACCAGACCAGATATGGTAGCAATATACAATGCATGGATAAATGGTAGATTTATGAATGTGTAAAATGGATTCTGACAAGAAAGATTTTCTGGTATGACTTTCTTATAATTTATATCAAAATGATCCAATTAATGTATGTGTATGTATTTGTTTCCATTTCCAAAAACAGTACATCATAGTGAAATTTTTGTTAGGGCAATACTATTAAAGTGCTCTTACTTGTAGCTATTTCCAGCACAATTTACAATAGAGTTGGGTCTATCCCTACACATACACACACACACACACATATGAGTTGGGATCAAATATAAATCAATTATGTTTTGGGATTTGATAAGATAAATATTTTCTATTTGTTCCTTATCTTATATATACAATACCATGCAAAAGTTTACAACGTATTACAAAAAATGTTTTTTAGGTATTTCTAATACAATTACATTAATTAAAATTTTACTGCTCATAGAATGTATATTTTGGTATTCAGTTAAACAATCATTTTTTAAAAACTTCAAAACAGTCTCCCACAAAGAAAAAACAATATTTAGTAACTCAAAAGTTTACAACACATTTTTTTTATTTACAACAACTTTTTTATTATAAAACTGTTCAAATTTTACTAGAATGTTCCATATTAGGATAGGGTTTCTTTTTAGAATGTTCCAGATTAATTTTATGATTACTTTTAGGAATAATTAAAAGTATTGTGTCATTGTTTTTCTGTCAACAGTCCTTTAAACATTGACAAAATGGGGAAAAGCAAAATAATTGATCGAGACCTCCATAAACACATTGACAACCTTCATACAAATGAACTTGGTTATAGGAAGATATCTAGTCAGTTAAATGTGCTGTTGAGTTCAGCTGGTATGATAGTTTGTCACTGAAAAACCTGTCATTCCATTTGTCCCCCCCCAAAAAAAGCTCTGGTTATACTAGAAAGGTAATGGAACATATGGCAAGATTATTAGCAAGAAAAGTTAGCAACAAGCCCCAAGTTACACATAGAGAACTTCAGGGAGTTCTAGAAGTAAGTGGAGTAAAAGTGAATACAGATACAATTAGTTGTTCACTTTGTCGATATGACATCTTTTCAAGGACTTCAAAGAAAAAACCACTTCTTAAGCGAAAACATGTTCTTGCTCGACTGGATATTGCAAACAAGCATTGTATCAAACTTGCAGCAGTTTGGGAAAATGAACTTTGGTTAGAACCTGCATGAACTAAAGGAAGAATGGAAAAATATTAGCCAAGAAACATGCAATAAATTTGTAGGGGACAAACTCTAAATGCTTACATGCTGTAATTAGCAATAACAGTTACGCTACGAAATATTAGTAGATTATCTAATAAATGTATTGTAAACTTTTGCGTTATTAAATATTGGTTTTTCTTTATGGGATAATTTTATTGATTATTTTTTAAAATCTGGTTGTTTAACTAAAGGCTTAAACATATGTATCATTAGCAGTAAAAGTTTTATTAATCTGTGTTAGAAATACCTAAAGAAACGTTTTTTTTTGTAATGTGTTGTGAAATTTGTGTGACACTGTATCTATGAGTTATAGAAAATACTTTGTTTTTGTAGGCCAGTGATCTTTGTTGTCTGGTGGTAGAATTCTACAAATACAACTACGACTTTTGTCTGCTATATTCAAAATGCTGACTGGATGAAAGGTTTAAATTTGGATAACATTTATTTTTCTATTGAACAATGAACCCATTTGGCTTGATCACCTCATACTACATAGAAAGGCAGGAAGAACAAAGTGAAATGACTACTTTGACTTTCCATATATTTCCATAGTTAAAGCCATACAGTTAAACATATGCCAAATCATGCAACCAGCTTCTGTGCTCTGCTCTCATTTTACCATGTTTACCACTATGTACTTTTGTTGTTATGCCATACTGTTGAATAACTAACAGTCAGTCAGTTATGTGCTATGCATGATTCATACTTAGGCAGTCATTTATCTGTCGATACATGACTGACGAGGCAGATTTTTATTCCTACAGTAAGTTGCGATTTCCTTCTGCAGTAGACCAATTGCCATCCAAGGCTATAGAACCCAGTCTGTCCTGCTATTTATCCATAGCTGGGGGGAGAAGAAGAGGATTCATACCTTTCCCAAAAGTTGACATCTGCTATCTTCTCTTTTGGGATATCCGATCAGTCAGTCATGCGTAATACACACTTATATACTATTCAATTTTTTTTCCCGTTGCCATTTCTTTCTGCGATAGACCAATTGCCATCCAAGGCTATAGAACCCAGTCTGTCCTATTTACCCATAGCTGGGTAACTAACAGTAGCATATCATTTGTAAGCATGAAGAATAGAATTTCAATTGAAATTGCTTATGTTCATTTTACATTCATGGTCTTGGAAAAGGTATATACAAGATGGCTGCATAATCTATTTAATATTAAGGAAAAATAGCCTACTTAAGACACCTTAGTTCCCTTCAGATTACTCCCTTTGGAATCAAACACACTTATTCCAGTCCCCTTTTCATGTGAAATAATCTCATCCATAGCATTTCAAGATTTGGGAAAAGCAAAAAGTTGGAGGGACATAAATCTGGATGGTAGAGGGAAGGGGCTTACATATTAGAAGGATGGAATTAAAAAAAAAAACTGCATAAGATATGAAGAATATTCAATCATTTTGAATGTGATAGTCACACAGTATGCCAGCTCACTTATGTATAAACTGTGATTCATTTGAGGTTCTTTGTCCTTTCAGGCTCCCATCAGCAGCGTGTCCAGTTCCTTTGACAGTTTGGCCAATGAGGAAGTCCAGTCACTGAAAGAAGATATTAAACTGCTGACAAATGAACTTGATCGTAAAGAGAAACTTATCAAACAGCTAAATTCCGAAAAGCTCTCTGGTCAAACGGCCGAACACAGTCAGTCGCCATCTCCTGTTTTCACCCACTGCCAGTATCATCAAGACTGGACAAAAAATCTGGACTCTCTTCATCTTGGAGAAGATGAATTTGTTGTATAGAATGAAAAACAAAGCAGAAGTGAAAATAGCTGTAAAATGGTCGGAAAACTTTTCTACTGACATCATTTATTATTTTCATAACTTATTAAATAAACCTTGGATAAATCCAAGATTTAAACATTTTTGTTTTTCATATTTTTGTTTTTCATGAATTTTAAGGGGTAAGTTAAAATTTTTAATGGGAAACTTACAATTCAGTGCAACTGATGCTTCATACTTTCAGCTGTAGGAAAAAAAGAAACTGTTCATCCCCCTCTCAAATTGTTCATATCTCTCTCTCTCTCTCTCTCTTTCTTTCACTCACTCCCTCCCCAAGCCTGGTGATATCTCTCTCTCTCTTTCTTTCTGGGCATGTTCATCTCTCACTCCCACTCTCTTTCTGTTCATATCTTTCTTTCTCAGCCTGATCATTTCTCTCTCTTTCTTTCAGAACATGTTCATATTTCTATCTCTCTCTCTCTCTCTCTCTGAACATGTTCATCTCTCTCTCTTTTTCACCATGTTCATGTTTATATATATATATATATAATCTTTCTCAGCCTGTTCAAATCTCTTTCTTTCTCAGCAGGTTATTATCACTCTTTTTTCTGCGTTTTCATATCTCTCTCTTTCTGAATAGGTTCATCTCTCTCTCTCTTTCTGAGCATGTTTATATCTTTCTCTCTCTCTTTCTAACTGAGAATGTTCATATTTTTCTTCCTTCTTTCTATCTAGCATATTCATATTTATCTACAAGGTGGCAATGAAGAGATCTTGCCTCAAACCACTTCCCAAAATCAAATATCACACATGATATATAAGAGCTTCTTAATCAGGCTGCCATTCATCTATCTCAGTCTATTCATATCTATCTATCTATCTATCTATCTATCTGTCTTAGCATGTTCATTATCTATGCTTTTTCATATCTAGGCCCGTTCATTATCTTAAGTTTTATTTCATATCTATCTTTGTTCTTATCTAACTTGGCCTGTTCATTATATATGTTTTTTTTATGTCTATCTCTCTTTCTTCAAGTGTATATATCTATCTAGTTCAGTTTGTGCAACATTTTTTTTTTTTTTTAAGCGTTTCACCCCAAGCAAGGTGAGAAGCCACTAAGATGCAAGGGGTTACAGAAAATTTGGAGCAAGATCATATAGGAGTGATAGAGGAAAAGATGAGGAGAAGGATAGTTAATAGATCAAGGCAACTGGAGATGTCGATTGACATTACATTTGAATAGCTGGAGATTATAGCTATCAGGGAGATAAGAAAAGGGAAGGGAGTTCCACAGGCGAGAGGTGTGAGATATGAAGCTATTGGAGTAGAAGAGACGGCTACATTTAGGAGTTTCGACAGTGAAAGGGTGAGAGCGGGATACCAGCCTCGTAGGGCGCTTGAACTCATGAAGTCTGGGAAACAGCGCAATCGCCATGAAAGTATTTGTAAAAGAGACAGAGAGAATCGACGGCGCATCTGAGAGAGAGAGTGACTGTAGACGAGATGCCAGAACAGGGCCAATTATATGGAAGCAAGAAATAACAATCAATAACAAATGGGTTGATGTAAAATGTGACTTGGTAGGAGGAAAATAGATAAAAAAAAACTATCATAAAATAAGAAAATGAATAAAAAGTTTTAATTTATTGCTGGAAAACATGGAAATACATTTTTAGTCCACTATTTACATTATTTGGACTATTGTCCTCATCTTTGTCGCCATATTTATTACAACATTTCGGCCATTGTACGCTCCAGCCTTCTTCAGGTGATTGGAATGTCGAACTGAACACTTTATTTTGCTCACTGGGGTAGACTGTTCTAGTTCCATGTGCCATCTCTAATGGATGTCAGTTATCTCCTGTTAATTCCCCTTTCCAAGTTCTCCACTGCCTTAACAATGTATTGAACTCACACTCTTTGGGTCCTGTCACTGGATCTAATTAACACCTTTATCCACTGTGCTATGTGTCCTTGAGGACATCTGTGTATGAATTTCTGGGTATTATAAACCTAATGTCTTCCTTGCATTTCTCAGTATGGAAGACATTTAATTTTTTCTTTACAAAAATTAAATTTTGATGATTTACTCTGCATGTTTTAGACTGAATTTTTAATTTATAGACAGAGGGCTTTGACACAAGAAGACAATAATTTCATATTCCTCCACAATTAAAAGGATATAAAGTAAAAATTAGCATATTATGAAAAAAGAGTTGTTGATGCTGTCACCGAAACAGTAAAATTTGGGAAGTCAATCAAATTGCTAGAAGTCCAAACCTGGTGTTTAGAATGAGTCACTGCCACAGGTGCTGACATTTTCTCTTCTCTTCTCTAACTTGGTCAGTTGCTTTTTCAATATGCAGTTGAACCTCAATTTTCACAGGTTTAACTTTTGCAAATTTGATTGTTCATCAGTTTGTCATAAAAAATGAAATAGGAAGACTTTTGGTATTTTGTGGCTAACTGCAGGAAACCACGAACAATACCTGTAGACTATAAAATTAAAAGAAAACTTCTGAAAAAAAGCTTCGGTAAATCATTGTTGCAGGAAACTTGGGATTCTGTAGCACAAGCATTGGAAACACACTTGCAACGTATTCTGGTTCAGTACGCACAGATGTGACCTGCATTGTGCGCAAAAGCCTTTTCCTGTCTCAGCAAACACTCATCTTTTTTTTATACATTCTTGCCAAGTCAGAGAATTTGAAGATTGAGCATGCTGCCAGACTCGATCTGACTCAATGATGCATGTGCCTCGTCATTCCATCATCGATGCTTAGACGGTTTGCTTCATTAGCAATTCACTCATCCCATACACACATTTAGGCAATGTTACTCTAGCCTAGCAAAAATTTCTGTTTTGCAATGGAATCATATTTTTGAAAAGAAAATAATTATAATATTATGTTATTCTGTTTGTATTGAGCATTGTTTTATTAAAAATAAAAATAATTGCTAAGAACACCGGATTATAAATCTTACTGTTCTTTCTTATTATTTTGAGGCACGGTGGAGTAATGGATAGCGGCTTGGATTGAGGAATCGGAGAGCTGAGTTCGAATTCCAGTCGAATCCATTACATTCACTTACGTGCTAATACCCTTGAGAAAGGTATGAATCCTCTTCCTCACCCTCCAGCTATGGGTAAAATAGCAGGACAGACTGGGTTCTATAGCCTTGGATGGCAACTGGTCTAGGAGAAGGACAACTCTGAATTCAAAACCTGCGGAGGCTTGTTTGGGAACCTTGTGGCATTCGGTGCACCAGGTCTCTGTATTCGTCCCTTCAAAAAGTGTGGATGGTCCTGCACGAGGCCTTCACCACTATAATCAAATCTCATTTGCCAGTGTCAGGCTCTCGATTTCCTGGAAACTGATCTGCTTGACCCTCATACGTCGAATGTCGACGGGAGAGTCGATTATTATAT